GGGCGAAAGCACAAGAAACAAATATTGTGGACCGACGAGATGGATGAGAGACATCTCAAGGAGGTTGTCCGGCTTGGCCCGAACGGTGTTGGTCACGGAAATGCCAATGCAACGTGGGCAAATAGCACCTGTGCCCTCGGTGCAGTGGCCATTCTGGACGCACCTGCCAGTCAATATGCGACCCGAATTCTCAACGAGTCGATATACTTGATTGCATATTCGATATGGGTATGCATGCGGTCATGCTGTCTCAGTAGAGTTCAAAGTTTAAATCCGAGTGAGGTTTGCGAAGCTACCGGTAGTAGCACAGCAACTGGCACCGACAGGTGGTAAATGCCATTGGTCTTTATCCGTTCAATTTCCGGATATTGAAGATCCACTTTCGAAGTGCGCGTGTCCATGTGCTCGAAGACAAGTTGGGAATTTGAATCAAAATAACGACTTGCTAAACACCTCTAATAATAATACTAGTAAGTCCAAACATAAGTTCGGCCCCGAAAAGCCCTATCATAGGACTTTTTCGTCAAGATATCAATCACCCTCCAAACCTATGGTATCCGGAAGAGTAATATAATCAAAATTAATATACAAAAGCACTTCTCCACATACTTAAATACAATACAGCATGCAATCTTTATAAAAATTCCCATTCAATTTACACTGTTGGCCAACGAAGTCAGACCTTGCCACAGCAGTCCGTCCAGATCATGATCGAGTGGATGCCAGCGGCGTGTGGCTGGCCGAGGCGGTCGCTTCACCCACAGGCGATGCAGAAACCGGTTGACATCATGTGTCAAGGTCGAAGCATACAACGCGGTGACTCTGGTGGAGGTGAACCGGTTTGCAGGCATACAGGGCGGTCGCTATGATGCTGGTGGGTATACTAGTAGATTTGGTGGTAGGTAGAGGCATGGAAGCGGACCAACTTGGATCGCTTTGCGGCATCACTCCACCTTCCGACAACGGTCTTGCATAGTTCGTGCATCGTTTGCGGCAGCGCCCTAGCTTCCGGTGGTGGCACAGAAGACAACGCGGCGCCGCCGACGATGATACGTTCGGAGAAAATCCGCGCTCGATATGCGGAGTAGTGCGCAGGGCGCGGAAGGCGTATGGTTCCTAAGATGCAGCGAGCTATGATGAAACTGGTGGCGTTCATGATGAAACTGGCTACGTTTTCTCTTCTTACGCCAGTATGTGGCATCACAATGATGTTGGCAGCACGCTTAATCCCTATACTGTGATGAAGCTCCACGTAGCAGCCGATGACGCGAAAGCACGCGACTTTCGCGTCATCGTAGGCTCATATTACTTCCAGCACACCCTCTACGCTGTAAATGTTAACAAGTTCGGTCTATAACGGAATGTGATGGACCGGGGAAGTGGCTGGTTGATGTAACTGCACTCATTATCATTATCACAGTCCTGCGCAAATAAATCTGACGGGTGGCGAAAATGGAACTTATCCCTGGAATCAGCATAAGTCTCTCATTTATCCGAACATTATCCGTATAGAACCTGGTTAAAAGTCCCACGCATCCCCATATTAGGCCTTGTTCGGACGCACCAAGAATCCGGTTATTTCGTGGATTCAGTCTGGAATCCGATTTTTTGTGTTCGATTGACAAAAATAAAACCCATCAATTTTGATGGTTTCTTGGAGGGATTGATTAGGTATTCTGCTTTTCAGACGGAGTTTGGGGTTTCGGGGTGCTATATTTATTCCCTGAGTACTGACAGTGACGAAAGGTACGTCGCAGCCGATACCACATATGATCAAGTGGTCCATCGCATGGTGCTTCTTCGCCAACTATTTAACCAGTTAAGACCGTATTCATCTTTGTGGAGATGAATTATATTCCTGTAGCGCAGAATGGGCTCCGCACTCGCTCAGTTAACAACTGATGTGTATGCAACTGACAAAAGCTACGTGAACTTAGCACACGCAGTTACTTGTATCTCATCCTTATAGAAGTCGGTACCAAGTTACTTGTATCTCTCCTTGTACAACTCAATGTGTTCGTCAAAACCCGCTACGAAGTCGCTGCACCATCGAATGGACCTTGAATGGTGAAGTGGATATCTTGCCCTCCAGTAAAGTTGTATGATATATAGCTACATACATGTACAGTACATCTTCGTCTATGATCACGCTATATAATCTCGCACTACGCTTGCAGCGGAACGCGTCGTATTCTGTAAACCCGGCGCAATCGCCGCCAAGAAAGCGTCTACATGGCCGATTTTCGTTCATGACGTGCTGCAACATTTCAGTCAGAGCACATTGTATTTCGTTTTACCTGACACTCAAATGCCTAAAAACAGCAGTCGTAAATAGTGGAGCCAATGAAAAGGAGAAAAAACCAATATAGACCAATCATATAGTTCCAATGACCATGATGTGGCCAATAGAATACCAGTATTCTTGTGAATTTTTTGCATTTGGGTGGCAGTGTTCCTATCGTGTTCGGTGCAACTGACAGAATCCGGATTCAAAACCTAGATTATCATAATCCGGATTCTGGAGTCAGAATTCATTTTTGCTCCGAACACGGCCTTAGACACGGTGGATGGGGGTCTTTTGCCTGATTTTAACATTTACAGTAAGAGCCAATGCGACAACGGATCGCAGTTAGTGTGTTGGACTGTCGAGTCAAAGGTACAGGCTTGAGTCCCAGAGGCGACATCACTTTTTTACTAGTACTACTATAATAATCCTAATGACACCCGCCGTTAAAATACGACATGCCACGTCCAAAGGATGATCTCAGAGATGCATTCCCTCGTTCCCTGTACGTAAGTGGCGTACAGTATATATAGTCCATAAATGTTCAGGTCAGATTGGTCTATATCGAAGTTAAAGCAAACGTTAGCGCAAAATATTTGGAGATGCTCTTAACGCTAGTACTGTCCTGTCTCATCGGTGGAGATGCGCTTACATTATGAATGCCGCCGTGGTTGAAACAGTCATCCATTGGCTAGAATGTGCGAAATTATCGACATTTCAATTGTTGGAGCTTGCTTTTCTACATTGCTTCCCATCCGAGCGGGTTAAAATTTCCAGATTCGGGTGCAGTACCACTTGGCAGGTATTTCTGGCGTTTTCTGTATTGATATGTGTGGCTGTTTCGAGGTACAACCAAGCAAAGATTTCTGCGCGAAGCGCCATTACTAATTCCTGTCAGCACACTAGCGCAGCAGCGTGTTCATGAACGTTATGCATCTATTCCCACAAAACACATTGCTTGATCGCGTTCATAGGTGAGTCCATAGGGCAGTTGAACGCCTTGGCAAAATCGATAGAGTTTTGAACTGACCCGATCAAGCGGAGGCGACGAGGGGGGTGTACGTCGGTGAGCAGAACTGGAGGTACTCGTCGCTGTTCTTTTCACACCACGATTGGCCGTACCTGATCCAAAACATCTTTTCGCCTGTTTCCTTGGTGTATTTGGTGGCTTCGGCCTCAGCGTGCATGTAGTCCTGGTACCCCCGGTACGCAGCGTTGAGCCCCCCATTGTCGGCGATGGTCTCGGTCAATGTCAATTTGCCGTTCACCTTGCCGAGCAAATCACCCGTGAGCTCGCTCTTGATGTCCATGGACCCATACTGCTCGACGAAGCACTTCGATTTTTCGTCGAACAATTTCATCACGGTAGCAGTCCACAACGGATTAAATTTGCCGTCGCTGTCGAAGTATCTGCCAAAGCTGTCGAAGGCGTGGGTGATTTCGTGGCTGATAGTAACGCCAATGGCGGCATAATTCGAGGACGGGTCCGCCTTGGCATCGAAGATCGGGGGCTGCAAGTAGGCGGCTGGAAACAAGAGCGAGTTAGTCGCCCGCAGGTGTCACGCATTCGCGTCTAGCGCAGTAGTCTCCCAAATCTGCTTGTCCACGGCAGTGTCGATCTGAGCTAGGTTGAAGGCAGTGTCGAACGCAGACACCTTGTTCAGGTTGCCAATGTACGCCTTGGGGTCAAACGTCAAGGTGGGGTACGTTTTGGGGTTCTGCCCCCCCCCAAGAGGTGGGTGAATTTGGACAATTTGGTTGTAGCGTTGGCCCGAGTTGTGTCATCGAGCCACCCCACATTGTCCAGCCCGGTTTTGAAGGTCGCTTTCAGCTTCAACACGAGCGAGTCGGCGCGCGCGGCGATTTCGTCCGTCCACACTTCCTTGAGGTAGTACGTGCCCAGAAGATCGCCGATGGAACTCGTCACCTGTTCGCGGCTGATCGTGGCCCGTGGTGGGGGGGGGGGTTCGTCATAAATCACCATGTCATAGAAGTCCGAACGTGCTTTTGCAAACGGTGTTGACAGCGTTGAAGTCGAGCACTTTGTACTCGATGATCGTCTTGAGGTCGTCGACGTGCATGCGGCGGAGCATTTTTTCTAAGAAGTCGAAGTAATAGGGGTCGTTCACTAGGACCGTGGTCGTGTTGCACCCTTTGTGGACGTCGAACCCAAACCCTTGCAATGGGAGACCTAGTCCCAATGGGTACGATGCGTTGGCGTCGCTGAGCGACAACCGCCTGGGTGTCACGGCCTCTTGGAGCCTACGCTTGGACGGCTCTACCCCGGCATTCATGCGTTCAAACTTAATCACGACGTCAATGGCCGTCTCCACCTCGGCGTGGCCGGCCAGCGTGAAGATCGTGGCAAGGTATTGGCGGTACGACTTTTCAACCGTGGCCCACAATGGTTCGTGGAAATATTCTTGGCCGAACGGCAGTCCCGGGTGTACGGCACTCAAGATGTTGCGGGTGGTCGCCGAGACCGAAAGTTTCACGAACAGCGGTACGCCGGTGGCCTTGGAGATGGTTGCGCCGCGAAAATGGCTTCGACGGTCGAGTTGGCGCTGCGGATTGCCTTGACGTGGGCTTCGATGGGAGCCAAGCCCAAGGTGTCTAATGTGTCAGTGTCCATACACGAGTCATAGAACTCGGTTAGTTAAGGCAGCTTGGCGTTAAACAACTTTTCGATCACCTTGTCTGCCGCAGCCGCAAGCACGGAGTGCACATTAATGCGAGCCTCGTTGCTGTGGAGGGTGGTCTTATTGTACCACGTCCCGCACGAATACGAAAAGAAGTCGGTGCACGGATCCACGGTTTGATCCATGAGACTGGTCATCTCTGTCGGAAACTCGGTGATGGTGCCGAAAGCTGACGCGACACCGGCGGACAAGGCAGCCACAGCGGACACGATGATCTTGACCATGGCTAGTATATTGAAGAATGACAAATTGACCAAACAAGCTCGCGAATGATGGGGCTACCAGTACTGTCTCCATCACAATATGGGATACCCAGGAGATATCAGGTGGATAAAATGCATGCACTTTTTAATGGCCCTTTTCATATGTATTTGACCTCTTGGTCATAGATTAACGTTACAGTAATGTATAGACATCCTATTAGTTACGGTACAGGTTGAATGGAGGCACAGCAGCACATGGCAACGCCTTGCCCAAGGAGATACCATACGGTACATGCACGTACTAGTACTCCGGAGTATTTGCTTACGATATTCCAGACAGCTCTACAAGTAATTGAAATCACTCTTGATCGTGCCAGTCCATTGCGATACAGAGTACTGTATTCTGTACAGTACAAGAACAATATAACTGAGTACTAGTATTCCAATTGTCGTGGCAAGGTGCACAAAGTGCCGTAAAATTCAGTATCATTTCCTAGAATAGCCGCAAGGGTTTGCCGAAGTGGATAGCGGGTGTACCGCATTGTTGGAACATAGGGCACCTGTCATGAATAACTCCCTCATCGTGGGCTTAGCTGCCAAGACAGTGTCAAGTGCAACGTTGAATTAGGTTGCCGAATGGATGCAGCACATGTCCACGGCTTCCCCAACCAGTAGAGCAAACCTAAGCGATGTAGTAGTTGTCGACGTTCCAGATAATGCATGGGAGTGTCAACTAGGTCGCCTTGCACTTTCATCGACGTACTCTTAAGCATGTTTGTCATACTAGTAAGTTTAGATTCATTCGACCCGGCAAACCGAGCTACATTACAGTAGCGTACTGTAGCCTAAAACCAGATGAATATAGAAATAGTAACGTTAAAACTGATCCTGATGGTACCAGAGGATACATACAGTAGTAGTACCAGAGGAAACATTGTTGACCTGTACAGTAGTACCAGAGGATACATCGTAGTACTAGAACACTAGTAACGTTAGTAATAAATAGTTCAGCACTTGATCCTGATATACCAGTGGTGTGCATACTAATAGTACTACTAATCCTGATATACTAGAGTGTACTACTATACATATTACTACGTAGTATTACGTCGCTTGCCTTGAAGGGCATGTTGCCTGAAGTTTTCGCCGCCGACGTCGATATCCTCAATGATGGATTTGCACTCCTCCGGGCCACCGATATGGCGAAAAAGTCGACGAGTTGACAGCTGAAGTGGCGGAGGCATTGGACATGTGCGAATTTAGCTCTCAAATGGAGTAGCTTACTGTCGATGGCGAGCTAGATGAAGATATTAAAGGGGACCTGGCGAACCTCTTATGACTAGGTACTTCAGCATTGAATATACTGGACTATATAAAAATGTTAGTTTTTGTATTTTCGTATACTACTACTACGTAGTACTACGTAGTAATTACTAGGAAATTTTTATATCGAACACATAGTGGTACTTTTAGGGTAATTATTCACGGAAATCAGATTTTCCGATACTTCCGGGCAGCGGTAGTGTTTAGGGCATCCCCACCGGTGCGACTATATAATCAGACTGTAAAATACCGTTTTACAGTTCCTGTATTTTGATTTTTGTCAACCCCAGCGGTAAAACATCCGAATAATGTTTTTATCCGGACTTAAACGCCTGGCGCGATGGCGTGGGAGGACGACGATGATGACATGGATCAAGCTTGGGAGATTCTTGGCTTTCATCAGTCTTCTGCGCGCCCTAAAGGCTCTATTGCCAACCGCCAGCCGAACCTACCACGAGATAGCGAGGCTGCGCATGCTCGGATTTACCTACTAGTACTACTTTGACCCCAATCCAATCTACGGCGAAGCCAAGTTTCCCCGACATTTTCGAATGGCCAGACCGCTGTTTGAACGAATCATAGACGGTGTGGTGATTCGTGATGAGTACTACCCTTGGACGCATCTTGAGAGATGTTGATCCATGACCGGACAAGCTGGCAGTCTTCGTCGGTCGTGAAGTAACGTTACTATTTTTCTATTCATCTCGTTTTAGGCTACAGTACGCTACTGTAGCTCGGTTTGCCGGGTCGAATGAATCTAAACGTACTAGTATGACAAACATGCTTAGAGTACGTGGATGAAAGTGCAAGGCGACCTAGTTGACACTCGAAATACGCAGTTCTTTACTGTAACGTTGATCTATTACCAAGAGGTCTAATACATATGGAAAGGGCCATTAAAAAGTGCATGCATTATATCCACCACATGTCGCCTTGGTAAATTGAGCTTGGATTATCATTTGTCTAAGACATTCCTGCGCGAGGGCCGATACTAGAACCACATGTTGATGAACCGCTTCGCCAATTATAACGCGCCTGCGCGGTGTGTAATCTTCGGTTTTTACTTCGCTCAACGCTTCGTACCTCGTGCTTCGACCGAGCTTCTTATCAGTACTGTAAACCCAGAGTATTTACAGAGCACACTACTAAATTCATACCGACCTGTCATTTCAACGACATACATACCGGTATATATACTGTACTTCACCACATCACGTTACTGAAACAAGTTCCATCAGTCGCATGGCTTTCTATCTCCAAATTGTCGTGCCTGGATGGAGTTTGACCACCTTTGTGGTTTTGCACATTATAGCCAATAGAAATGCTTAGAGCATCTCCAACGGCGTTTTTATTTCTATTTCAATTCGAAGTTACGGATATAGAATAGAAACTCTTGCTCTATCCGGAGGGTTTGTTGCTATTTCACGCGAAAATAGAAATTCTGCGGGACGAAATTTCTAAAAAGTCCGGATAGTGTTAAAATAGCAACCGTAAAAACGAAGTTTGACTTTAACCTAAGCTTTAGCAATAGGTTAGAATTTACCGTTGGAGATGCTCTTAGCTTACAGCCTGACGGGCGTCGTGCAAATTCGATTTATATCACGTCAAATTCAAATATCTTGATATTTGTATTTAGGGGTTCATAGTTTCTCGATGGAAACGGAATTTGCCCGACGCTCGTCGTGCACGAAACCTTATAACCGGATGCCGGTCGTGTAAAAACCGTATTATGGAGTTCGATCCTCGTATCCCTTGTTATCCGGATTCCCCAGGGGAGGGAGGGATAAATCCTTGCGGAAATATGTAAACCGGGGAAGCCGGGGATCGAACCGACGACCTTTTTAACAGTGTAAGAAACCGATGCACTAAGAAACTGATGCTCTAAGAAACCGATGCTCTACCACTGAGCTATTCCCCCCCACATGTCTCCTTGGTATCCCAAATTGCGATGAATACAGTAGCGGTAGCCCCATCCTTCGCGAGCTTGTTTGGCCGCTTTGTCCTTCTTCAATATGCCAGCCATGGTCAAGATCATTGTGGCTGTCTTGTCCCCCGGTGTCGCGTCAGCTTTCGGCACCATCACCGAGTTTCCGACAGAGATGACCAGTCTCATGGATCAAACCGTGGATCCGTGCACCGACTTCTTTTCGTATTCGTGCGGGACGTGGTACATGAAGACCCCCTCCAACCCCACCAAAGTACTACCAGGCCACATACGCCGTGATCAACGCCGTGATCAAGGCTGCGTCGGACAAGGTGATCGAAAAGTTGTTTAACGCCAAGCTGCCCAAACTCACCGAGTTCTATGACGCGTGTATGGAAACTGCCACTTTAGACACCTTGGGCTTGGCTCCCATCGATGCCCACCTGAAGGCGATCCGCAGCGCCAACACGACCGTCGAAGCCATCTCTCTCCAAGGCCATCGGCGTGCAGCTGTTCGTGAAACTTTCGGTCTCGCCCGACGACGCCGACGTCACCCGCAACATCTTGTATGCCGATAACACGGGACTGCCGTTCGGCCAAGAATATTTCCACAAACCATTGTGGGCCACGGTTGAAAAGTCGTACCGCCAATACCTTGCCACGATCTTCACGCTGGCCGGCCACGCCGAGGTGGAGACGGCCATTGACGTCGTGATTAAGTTTGAACGCATGAATGCCGGGGTAGAGCCGTCCAAGCGTAGGCTCCAAGAGGCCGTGACACCCAGGCGGTTGTCGCTTAGCGACGCCAACGCATCGTACCCATTGGGACTAGGTCTCCCATTGCAAGGGTTTGGGTTCGACGTCCACAAAGGGTGCAACACGACCACGGTCCTAGTGAACGGCCCCTATTACTTCGACTTCTTAGAAAAAATGCTCCGCCGCATGCACGTCGACGACCTCAAGACGATCATCGAGTACAAAGTGCTCGACTTCAACGCGCCCGTCTTGTCAACACCGTTTGCAAAAGCACGTTCGGACTTCTATGACATGGTGATGTATGGGCGAAACCCCCACCACCACCATGGGCCACGATCTGCCGCGAAGAGACCCACGACTAACTACTACTACTAACAACCACGACTAACTACTAACTACTACTACTAGTACAGTAAGCTTCCTATAAAGTTGAAACACACTCGGAATAATTAATACTAACAACTAACTACGACCTACTAACTACTACTACTAGTACAGTACTATAAAGTTGCAACACACACGCGGAAGAATGAATACTAACAACCACGACAAACTACTACTACTACGAGTACTATAAAGTTGAAACACACTCGCGGAATAATTAATACTATCAACTAACTACGACCTACTAACTACATGGTGTAGATCGTCGACTGGCTCGCGAGGCTGCCAGTATCTTCCAAGAGCGCAATCGTATTTACACTGCTGCTGCCACCGCCCATGTGTCGACTCGTGTCATACCCCACTTGGTGGTTATCATAGTCGACATCGCACCGGGTGTACTTGAGTATATACTCGCAGTCCATTTGCTGCAAATTCCCCACAAACGGCACGTTATGATGGCGGATATCCTTGATATCTTCCGTGGCCAGTCTCTGTAGGGACCTAATGAGCTCGCCCACGGATGGCCGCTCGGTAGGTTCGACATGCCAACACAGCTGGATCAGCACCTTCCACCGCGGCGGGCACGCGTGCGCGGGGATCGGCGGCCTTTTTCCATCTACAATCGCTTTTTCGATCTCATGGTTCCACCGGTACTGCTCGTACGGGAGCTCCTTGCCGTCGATCATCTCCCATAGAATCACCCCCAGCGAGTAAATGTCGATCTTTTCCGTGTAGTTCTTCTTGCTTTGAATCACCTCTGGCGCCATCCACCGCGTGGTACCGACCAACCCCGTCATTTCTACCGACTTGATCTGCGGGTTTTGGCTGCGCACAATTTCCGCGAGTCGGAGCGTGCCAAAGTCGGCGATCTTGGCGTGCCACGTCTCATCCACCAGTATATTTGGACTCTTGAGATCTCGATGGATCATCCGCGAGTTGTGGAGGTACTGTAGCCCATATGCGAGCCCCAATGCGAGCCGAATCTTCATAGGCCACAGCAGCGGCGACCGCAGCACGTCCCGCAGCGATCCCCGGGCGCAATACTCGCTCACAATGCAGATAGATCCGCGGTAAAAACCCGCTTCCATGAACAGCACAATGTTTGGGTGCGTTAGCCGCTTCATCACCAGCGCCTCTTCCTGGATCTCGTGGTTGCACTCGGCTACGAAGGCCACATCTGCCAGCGCTTCGTCGTCTACGAATAGAGTCTTCATCTTGACCGCGACCACGGCGCCGCGCCATGTGCCGCGGTATACGACGGCGAGACCTTGGCCGATCTGCGCTCCGATTTCGAGCCCCACGAGCTCTTGGGGGGGTGGGAGGGGATGATGATGGCTGCGATGATGGGTGCTAGGTAAGCCAAAATGAGCCTCCAGCATGCGACGGTGTTGATAAGTTTGCGACGGAGTGGACGATGTCTGATGGTGGTTCTGGTTGTGTTGGTTCTGGTTGTGCTTGGCGATCGAAGAGCACCACGGCAACCGGCTGGAAAACACCACCGATGTACCCAGAGGCCACAGTGCAAAGAGAAGACTCGCGATATGGCTAAATAGATCGCCATTGGATGACGCGCCGTTGTCAGACGATGACGTGGTCAATGCCAGCGATAGCATGTCGTTCGTGATGTTGGGCGTGACGCACGCGACAAAGAGCAGCATGTACCCGACCAACTTGGCGAGGATCACGGACTGGCCTAGCTGGCCCGTGCGCAGTTTGTGCGCGCGTACTGCACACAGCCCGTACGACACGGACGCCAGCGTCGCCAGCGCGAACGCGTCCCACAGCATGCGCGCGAGTTTCGTGACATCGGGCTCGTGGCTAAGCAACGCGTACGATTCCAGACCGATGTACAGGATCACGCACGTCCATACGCCGACGTGCGCGTACATGAGCTGGAACGACGAGTGGTTGGCTTGCCGAGACAAGATGTACACGACGAGCACGGCGGTCCACAGAAACGACGAGATCTCAAACCCCCAGTGCGGCGCGGTGAGGAAGACGTCGATGGCCCAGTTGGACACGTCCAGCACACGCGCGACAGTGTGCAACGCACCCGTCGTGGAGAAGATGAAGTCGGAGACCGCGGTGAAGCACAGGATCTTGGATGAGATCGTCGGGCTGTTGCGCAGAGACAGCAGCATGAACAGCGCCCCGCACGAAGACAGCACCTGACACACGATCTTGATGATAGGAACGATCAGTTGCGGATACTCGAACGAGGAAGGAGACATCGCATGCGCCAACGTCAATACACGCACGACACACTGGCGCTATAGCCAGTGCGGCGGTCGAGTAACGGCATCCGGATAACTTGCAAACTCTGTATCCGGATACGTATCCCTTGCGAACAGTTTGCCAAAAAAGACTCTGTTTTTGCAAAATTTGTTCATTTTTTTGGTGCGAACCATAACTCGACTAATGTTTACTACTACGTAGTACTAATACTACAAAGTACTAGCGAGTACTATTAATAGTACTACGTAACTTAGTACTATTAATAGTAGTACTATTGTACCCCGTATATGGAGCGTAATTGTTTTACTGTACTACGGTGTGCTGTCACCTGAAACCTGCCAATTCTGCAAATGGTTGTTCAATTCTGGATAAAATCTGGTGTTGGAGGTTATTATAATTGTTTAGAGGTTTTGCTACTGCAGTACAGTAGTACTAATTTGCGAAAGCACTGGACATGCTTCTACCGGATACAGTTTGCATTATCCGGGTACGAGACCTCTAATCCGGTGAGATTGGGTTCAATATTTGGGACATTTATAGTGTAAGATGAGGTCAAAAATGCTGTTCAACTTTCGCTGTGCTTCCATATAATTTGTAAGTGTATCTGACTCCTGGAATTCTCCGGTTTTACAGGTAGAGGTTTGTAGTAAGCTTACAGCAAATACCCATGACAATACGGTACCTGTATAATATAATAATACTTGTACGTAACGGTAGGTATTTCCAATCGGCGACAGTAATTTTGAATGACAGACATCGCTCTATATAAGATCGATAGTTTATCCCAAGACGAATCGACCACTAGAAGCTAATCGCGGAAATTCACAAAATGTGTGGAGGCCAAAGTTGGATGATACCTTTGAAGATATTCTAATTAGGACTCTCGTAAGCATAAAACTCGAATTTGTAGGGGCATTCTCAACGTGGAAGAAGTAGTACTTAGCCCTGTACTTTCTGTCGTACATATACATACAGTATACTTCCCGTTGTCAAACCCTCAACCTATTTTGAACTGCGATACCGGGCATTCACACTTCACAGAGTGAAACCTATGACTCATTTCGATTTAAACTTGTACAAACTATACTTTACAAATATGGGTATATATGGTTTTGAGGGACTTGGCTGAATCAAACGTTTGGATTGGCAGAAATTCGCAGAATGTGATTTGATTGGCTTAGGCGGTTCTTTCATCACCCTTCTCTTACGGCATTCGATTCTGCAGACTGACGACGGCTCCAGTTTCGAATCGATTGGACAATACTAGTACTAATCCTTTAGACAGCCTTGGTGCGCCCGATCGGTACATACATTTGTGTCGACTTGTATGATTCTACTACAGTAGTCGTCTATAATATTTTAGTAGTACTCGATTTAGTATAGTAGTAGTACTAGTAGTAGTCTTCCTTTGGTCCACACCATAATATCTGGGATGATAGTATATTATTGTAACCCGCTGGGATGATGGACGAGATTTCCCAATGAGGAATATCCTCATTGGCCAGATAAGCCAATGAAATCATCCAATCACGGTATTTGAAAGCCCAAATCCCACCATTCTATTGGCTCTCCCAATCAGAATCGTTCTCCCATCGAGATGGGAATATATTAATCATAGCGATGATTCCGAGTAGTACTACTACTAAAAACTATATTATTCATATTTTTTAGCATGGGCAGATTTATGTAATTTACCCAGATAGTATGGTCTTATGTGGTATACACTGGACTAGCAACCTCTCAAAACTGCGTTGAATTGCGTTCGGCAATGTTGTTGATATCGCTGGGCGTGTTGTAAGTGAACCCTTGGAACGTCATGGAATTGCGCGCGGCGTCCATGGACGCGCGGTAACTTCCCATGTTGGTCGCATCGGGTACAGAGTTGAGCGTCATCTTTGTGAATTCGGCCTCAAAGTTCTTGGTTTCGTCAGTACCCGCCAGGGTTTCGCACGGATTGAACGGCGCCGCCACCTCCCGCCGCAGCAGCGCATCCCACTCGATCGACGCAAAAAACGGATGCGATTTGATCTCCGACACGTTAGCATTCCCGAGACGCTCAACCGGATTCCGGTTAAGCAACCCCGCGATCAGGGATTGGGCAGGGGCGCTCACGTAATTGGGAAATGTAAGCGGGGCATGCCGGACTCGATCAAAGAGCTTTTGCCGGTTCCGGGTATACCAAGGAGGTAATCCCGTGAGCATTTCGTACAGCACCATGCCTACGAGCAACACACACACACGATAAATCATATATGAATTTGACAACATAAAAAAAATATTAAAAAAACTATATATATATATATGATATACACTGGACCATTATTCAGTGGGCGGACAGGGTACAAAAACTCGACACAACAGAAAAACAAGCAGAAATAATAAAATATAACATATATATACATACATATATATATATATATAAACTTGCTCTAAAGAACTCGGCCAACATTTGAAGTGCCCGAACGATGTGTTTTTTGTATATATATAATATATATATATAGGATAGATACGCTTGCTGATTATTGAAAGAGATTCGTAGGGGAATATATCGATCGCTACGGAACGCAAAGCGATAAGTGTTGGCGATTATAAAAACAAATACGTGTCGTCAGACATGTGCATAGTATATAGTCCTAGTAGTAGTCGTATACCAGGAAAATAGATTCCAATATATATATATATATATTTATATACATACCTAGCGCCCACCAATCCACGGAAGTGCCGTGGCCAACGCGGTCGAGGATCTCTGGGGGAAGGTACTCGGGCGTGCCGCACATCGAGTTGGTTCCTTCCGCGCCATCTGTGATACCTTCTTTGGCTAGGCCAAAGTCGGCTACGAAAATAAATATTAAAATATATAAAAAAAATAGTTTGGGTGGTTGCGTACCCAACAACACGTGGCCGACGGCGTCGAATAAAATATTTTCCGGTTTCAAGTCGCTACAAACACCACCACCCGAAACAACAACCGGTCCAGTGAGTGGTTGATTTTCCATATTCATAGTTTAAATATATATATTTATAGTTTAAAAAATATATATTTGAGATTTGCATCAACGTACCGGTACACGACCCCCAATGAATGCAAATGGTCGAGCGCGAGGGTGATTTCAGCGGCGTAAACCATCGCCATGGCTTCGGGGAAGCGCTCCATGCGACTCAGGTGGAAGAACAGCTCACCCCCAGGGCAATAATCGATCACAAAGTACAGCTTTTGCTTGGTCTGGAACGCATAATGCAGGTGGACTACATAGATATATATATATTGTTAATTATGATTCTATATATATATATATATATGAGAAGAGAACGAGTGAAGGGTATACATAACACACGCGAGGAGGATATTTGAGCCAATCGCATTGCAGGAAACCATCATCACCATTATCGAATTAGTGTGTGTGTGTGTCTGAAATTAGTGTAAGGAGTTTCCATACACCTCATGTAGTACAAAAAGCAATCGATGGATTAAGCAAGTATATATAGCAAAAAACGTTCAAATTGTGGTTGAAAGGGCGATATTGTGGAGATATTTTGAGCCAATCAGATTGCAGGAAACCACCAACATTGAATTAGTGTGAGGCCTTGATTAGTGTGATTTGAATCACCACAGGACGATATTTTACTTGCAAATAATCATGTAGTACAACAAATCGATCGATAGATTAGGCAAGTCAGCACACAAATCCAAGTTTTCGGGTCAACCGACAATGTATTACCCCGTTCGAAGCAAAAAAAGTATCAAATCTAGTGGAAAAGGGCCCAATTTGTATGACTTGAGTACCAATTATATGATAAACGGTTCATAAACGTCCAAAGAGATGCTGATTTTCCGACTTTTCAAATATCTGGGGATTCATTGGTCCAAATTTGATCGTTTTGCCATAATTTTCGACGAAATTTGATAAAAAGTAAAAAAAACGTAAAAATTCCCGACTTTTGGACCAAATATCTGGGGATTCATTGGTCCAAATTTGATCGTTTTGCCATAATTTTCGACGAAATTTGATAAAAAGTAAAAAAAAAGAAAAAACGTACCAATGTACGGATGCTTGCCAAACCCAAGTACGCGGCGCTCGGTCCGCGTGTGCTCGACCTGGTTGCGGCGCTTGACATTAGACTTGTTGAGGGTCTTCATGGCGTATAGCTTGTCGCTGTCCTTCTTGCGAACGAGGGTGACCTTGCCGTAGCTTCCCTTGCCGATGACCTTGAGCAGCTCAAAGTCGTCGATCGAGGTCTTGGGGGTGTTGTAGAGCGCGATCTCGTCCTCGATCTCGCGCTCGAGCTCTCCGTCCGTGATGGAGTCCGCTGTGGAGGAGGTCGCGACGGGCGGTCGGGGCGGCACGGGGTTGACGGCGACGTCGGCGGCCGGCGGGAGAACCACGCGCGGTTCCTTCTACAGACGAGTCAATACACGATGATGATGGGGATGATTGGACTGTATGTTGTGGATCGAGCAACAACACTACGCACGGATTCCAAGAGAAAGTTCTTCAACGCGTCGCTCTGCGCTGCCGACGACTCGCACACTTGATTGAGCCAACTGCTCAGCTCTTTCTCGCGCTTGAGGATAAAGTCCGGATTGAACGACCCGATGAGTTTCTTTGGCGGCACAGCATGACACTTGAACCCTTCCTTTACAAGCTACAACAACGTGTGACGACATGGATGCGAACATGGTCGTGGACGGAGGAGGTGTCGCGTACCGTGTCATGCAGGTCCTTGAACTCGTGGTACCGGTGGCGGACGATGTAGAAGAGTGCGTCGACCTGCACCTCGAGGATGTACGCGGTGTGCTTACTCCCGTTCGTCGTCACATTCTCATGCCCGACGATTGAAGTGAACTTGACCATGTTGCTCTTCCGCCGTAACCTCGGAAAATGGTAACCACAGGCGGCCGACGAGGTTACTATAGAGCGCCGCAATACGGGCGGATGCCACAGCATACAAAGAACAAGATATAAATACACCCATAATATATCAGACTAGTTTCTATTTTTATTCTAAATCCAAATAATACTAGTTAATTGTATGAAACACAATATAATTAGCAATAGATCCCTTGCATCTATCGCGTGGTCGTGTTCAATTGGTTCGAGTACTGTACTTCGAAGTACAATCAACCATCTTGGCCGGAGGCTAGACGATACTAGTATACTACTACGTAGTACTAGTAACTACTACTAGTACATGGTAGGGTCTCCCCATGCTTTACAGTAGTGGATGGAATGCGCGAGGTGTCCCAGGACGTGTGTGTAAGGGACTTGCCTGAGTAAGTACTACCGTAAAGGTTGGGTTGCAACACACGCAATACTAACCTAGAATAGAAAGCACCCAATCACAGCGTCGTATTGAAACACCTGTCAAATGTAATACTACCTCCGATTGGAAATGATTGATACGTTTACCGGTTACGTACAACTATTATTATATTATACAGGAATGAACATACTGTATTTGCTGTACTACTATTTATATCTCCACCTAATAATAACAGTAAACATCTACTGTATAATGAGAAAATTCGCTAACCTGAAGCGATTATCAGAAATATTTCGCAAACCTGAAGTGGTTTAGGGTTACGCAAAGCACGTGCTTGTGTGCGAAGTCTGATGTACTTGTAAAAGGAAATTAGCGTTCTGGTCAGAAATACGACTTCTTCCAGTAGAAAACAAAGCACGTGCTATTTGTGCTTTCATGTTTTAGACCAATCACACTTGAGTATTTGTACCCGAAAAGCGTAATTCGACTTCTCCAACCAAACTCCAG